CTACAAGGATGATGCCTGTCTCTACTCACCAGCATCTGAGCCGGAGGTATGGGCTGGGGGGGCTCCCTGAGGTCTGGAGGGGTGTGGGGACACACTACCACCTCCCCAGGCTCATCTGCTCCAGCACCAAGTCAGCTGAGCGGGCTGGGGCTGCGCCCACGTCCCTCTCCGTCACCTCCCTGGCAGGTCATCACTGTCGGTGCCACCAACAGTGAGGACCAACCCGCCTCCATCGGCACCCTGGGCACCAACTTTGGCCGCTGCGTGGACCTGTTTGCCCCGGGGGACGACATCATCGGTGCCTCCAGCGACTGCAGCACCTGCTTCACGGCGCAGAGTGGGACGTCGCAGGCGGCCGCGCACGTGGCAGGCGAGCTGGGCTCCGGGGTGGCAGGCAGGGCTGGGCCCCGCTTGCTGGTGCTGGGCATGTGTCGCTGCAGGCACAGGACATCAGGGCTACCTCTGCTGGGGACATTTTTCCGTGCCTCGGTGCCATGGTTGGTTTTGGTTTGTTTGGCTCATCGGGGTGCCGGAGCCTGCATCTGGGGCATGTGGATGATGGGCCGCAGCGATTCCTCTGGAGTCTCTCTGGAGTTGAGTTGTGGGTGGGTGCCCACATGGCTCCCGGTCCTCACCGCGGCTCCCTGGGCTCTCACAGGCATTGCCGCCATGCTGCTCAGCGCTGAGCCCCAGCTGAGCCTCGGCGAGCTCCGGCAGCGCCTCCTGCACTTCGCCACCAAGAACGCCATGGACATGGCGTGGTTCCCCGAGGAGCAGCGGCTCCAGACGCCCAACAGCGTGGCCGGGCTGCCGGCCCAGCTGGACTCAGGTAAACACCTCAGCCGCCTGCGGGGTGCCCACAGAGCTCTGCCCTTACTGGGGAAAGAGGTGTTTGGGTGGGAGCACTGCGTGTCGGCAGGGCATCCTCCTCCCCGCTGAGCTGTGCCGGGGAATGGCTGAGCCCGAGCGTGGTTGTTGGCACGCAGAGGGTAGCGGGGAGACCTGCCAGCCCTGGCTGGCAGCCCAGTCCGTGCCGTGGGCTCTGGGTGCTGCTGTGGGTGTCCGCCCCACCGCTGACACCACCCGCCCCGTTGCAGACGAGCAGCTGTACTGCCGCACGGTGTGGTCGGCGCGCTCTGGGCTCACCCGGCACGCCACCGCCGTGGCTCGCTGCGCCGGCACCGAGGAGATGCTCAGCTGCTCCAGCTTCTCCCACAGCGGCAGGCGGCTGGGGGAGCACATGGAGGTGAGCAGAGCATGCCGGGGCACAAGTACTGCCCCTGGGGTGTCCCCAAGCCCCCGAGCACCCCCGGTGATGCTGTGCTGCCCCGGCTGCAGGACAAGGACGGGCGGAAGCAGTGCGTGGCCCACAACGCTTTCCGGGGCCGCGGTGTCTACGCCATCGCCAGATGCTGCACGTGGCCCAGGGCCGAGTGCCAGATCAACGGCAGCTCCCCGGTGGCCGAGGGAGCCGGCTGCTCCCCACGAGACCACGTGCTGACTGGTAACACCCAACACGGCGGGTTACAGAGCCTTGAGCCAACACCCTGATGGCCAAGGTTGTTTCTTCCAGAAAAACTCTGGGACCTGGGGATAAAAGGGTGGGTGTGAGTGCTGGGGTGACAGGGGAAGGGGACAGGCTGCGTGCATGGCAGCAGGGAAGGCTCAGGGCCCAGCAGGGACATCCCTTAGTGCCTCTGTGTGTGCGTGCTGGGATGATGCTGTGGCTGCCCCATGCTGACAGCCCCTCTCCCCTCGGCAGGGTGCAGTTTCCACTCCCCCGGCACGGCGCTGGGTGACGGTGGCAGAGCCATCACGGGGCCAGGGAGCAGGCCCAGCCGCTGCGCTGGCAGGACGGAGGTGATGGCACATGCCATGTGCTGTCCCGCCGCCGGCATCGAGTGCCGGGTGAAGGAACACACGTCCCTGGGCTCCGCGGAGAAGGTATGGACAGTCCACACTCCTCTGCCACGGTGCTGTCCTGGCCTCTGCTTGTCCCTCTGCCACCCTGATGGGGTTTGGGTTGGCTTTGGCATCTCACTGCAGCCACCCCAACCCCAGCCTTCACTGGTGTCCCCAGCTGCTCACCTATAATGGGGCACCCGCCCTGGCTGGTGTCCAGCAGCTCAGTGTGACACCGGCCACATCGCCCTGGGGACCCTCGGGGAGGGGCAGACCCCTGCCTTTTGCTTCCCCGTGGAGGGTTAACCTCTTCCCCCCATTAGGTGACGGTGTCCTGTGACGAGGGCTGGACGCTGACGGGCTGTAACGCCCATTCCCCGAGCCCCAGCACCATGGGAGCCTACGCCGTGGAGGATACGTGCGTGGCAGCCAGCCTCCCGGGCAGCAGCAGAGGGGTGAGCAGGGGGATACACCGGCACCGCGGCACTGCTGCGGCTCCAGCTTTCAGCACCTCGCACCAACGGAAAAGGCAGTATTAATTACAGTCCAGATCGCCTGCAAATCTGACACACAAAAGCCGGCCTAATCCCTGACTGCAAGCGTAGCCAGGGTAGATCATTCTGCTAAGAAGGTCAGAAGAAACTGCCCACAGATACAGATCTGACAGTGCCCCGGCACACGCCCCGGTGTAAGCGTGTACAGCAGCACAGCCACGGGGGCAGGCAGCTGCTTCATTTACAATGGACAGGAGCCAAAACGGCAATCAGGGCAACCTCTCGGAGCTTATCACCTGCAGGACTGGCCTAAGAAGTTTCAAGATAAGAGGATCAACAAGACAACAGCGTAGCAGTGTATGCGCACTCTAAAGATTACACTAGTTTTCTGTGAAAGGAATAACTTTATTCCATTGACCAGGAATCCCAAGACTGTTCAAGACTGCCTATTTTTCCAGTGCCAAATGTCTACGTATTAATCGGACAGTATCTCCCCGAATGCTCACAGGCAGGCTGCGGCTGATCCTCACTGAACATTTTGTAAGCTGTATAAAAACATTTTCATCCAAAAAGATCGGCAGTAAAAATTACAACATAGAAATGCATCACAATTTACACAAAAACTAGTTTTGTTGAACTCTATTTTCCAAAAAATAATCTTCAGCAGGTTCAAATGACAGCAGCTGGAAACAAAAATAATTGACCAAGTATCATCTTATTGCAAATTATAACCATTGACTTTGTACAAGCGTGAGCAGAACCGTGAAAAAGTTTGTATTGGTTTCAAGTATACAGTGGTGATGAGTGATCCCGACGCAATTCTCTTATCAACGCTTCTCTGGGCCTGCGGTAATCGAGGACGTTGTTTCCATAGGAAATAACAGGAACCTGAAGTGACAAGTGGTGCCAACCCATAGGAACATTACCAGCTTCTTCCGTCACCATCACCGCTGTGTACTGACTTCTTGTGATGATTTTATGACCCATCAACAAAGTATTAGGGGTGGGGGAAGGAAGAAGGGGTATCCGTAAGAAATGGTTTATTCAAAATTAATTTAAAACATCACATTTAAAATGTCCCAGCACATTATCAGAAACATTTATAAAATGCTAACTCTGCCATGTGTCTATGAAGACATTGTTTGGAAAAGAAAGTGAGAGATTCACTACAATGCCACCCTTTACTTCTTCGCAGGCGCAATTTACGACAACGGCTCTCTTAACCCGCAATAAGTTATAAAGCTGTACAGCTGAAATCAGATTGGATGTTTACTTCCAACAGTGAAATGACTGATTAATTTCAATATTAGTGCACAACAGTGAAAAGCTGTCTGCTGCTTCTTGTTTCGGCAACAGTATGTAAAAAGAAAAAAAAGGCACTTTTTGGCTGGTTGTGCCTTTAACTTGGCAAATTTATCTATTCTGGAGGTACCCAGGCACTCCTTAAGATGTCCCCCATTTCTGTGCATGTTTGTTTTTATAATTTTTTTTTTTTTTAAAGTAAGGCAGAATCCATAAATAAAGGCAAAAAGCAGTGCAGAAAACGTGACAAACGCAAAATGTACCAAAGATGAGGAGTTAGTTGGCACAAAAGAAGCTAGTATCCGGAGCCAGAAATCACTGAACTGCACTTGACATGGAAAACAAAACTGTGCTCAAATCATCCCAACTGGTTTCCAGTTGTTTACGAGCAAATCAAAAGAGCTGTGATATTTTAAACGTTGCCTGGTCAAGTGAAAATACAAACAAAGCCAAATCATTCTTTTCCCATGTTAAAATTGCTATAAAATCTGCACAACAGTGTCCCCAACTCACTTCAGAAATTATTCATCATATACAACCAATACCAACTTTCTCAGTAATTTCAAAGCATAAGCAAGTGATTGCAGATCACATGATTGAGACTACGTTTTATTCAATATGTCTCCAAAGGTTAAAAAAATTTAATGAGTAAAACTGCAACAGAATTCCATCTTAAAGTGCTTTTTTCTTTTAACTACTCATTAACTTTTTTTTTTTTAAAATTCCACCAACATCCTTTAATAATGAAAACTTGCATACCTAGAGAACAAAGCTTTTCTTTTATTGCCCTTCCCAACTGTCTGTGGTTTTTGGAAGGGTACCAGAGAAGACAACCCGTTCCAGAGCTCCTTGACCAAACCATTCTGTAAGGGATCACCCCCCTTACAGAGCAAACTTGCTGATCCTTCTCATAAAGAGCTTTACAAATTAGCAGGGAGACATATTAAATACAGAAGTCCTTATGTAAACCCATTCTTTAACTAATATTTTACAATGAAATGTAAGTCATCACACATCTTTACAGAAATTTGAATATTCCTATTCAATATTATCAGAAAGATTAAAAATTTGCCCTCCATACATAAGGGCAGTCTGTTTCTTTTTCCTGTATAAAAACCAAAAGAATTTTTTTGCAGCATCACAGAAAAGCAACAGTTTTACATTCACTCATTTAATGTTCACATAAAAATTCAACCACTAGCGTTTGTGTGTATTTGATAAAATCTTCTTGACAAACTGTTTTCGGTGTCTGGACTGTCATAAGCTACTGCAGGTGAAGATGCAGTTTTCTAGAGTATTTATTGATCTGAAGCCTTTGTGGCTAAAAAAACGCTTTTAGCTTTCAGGGAAGCAACCTCCTCCAGCACTGGGAAGCAACCTCCTCCAATCCTATAAAGCCAACTTCTCTTCCAGACTCTTCTAATGGCAAAAGCAACGGGACTCCGGTTTCAGTAGGTACCAGGCATTAAATGTTCGAGTTGATCTGTTCTTGTGTTCATAGGTATCTCCTCTAAGGGTCAACATCATCAAGGTCACTTTTAGGCTCACCGATCATCATAGGAGACTCTGAGCCCTTTCAATACACACAAGGGATGGAGAGAGAAAGATATGGCACGTTACTTTTGTAAGGCCCAATTACTGTGTCTACATTCCGTGGTTCTGACCCGAGCCCCAGAAGCAACGCAACAGAAGAGAAAATGCCCTTAATTTACAGTTACCTGCTGCAGGTGTCTGTCTCCATTCTCGTTGGCTGGACTACTTTCTGAGCCGTTACTGCTTCCAGACTGATCTTTCTCGTTCAGCAAGGCTGTGGCATAGGCCAGCGTGTCCTGAGTTGGAAACAGTCCAAGAGAGCGTCAGGGACCATGGTGATACCTTATTTCTTTCTTTTTTTTTTTTTTTTTTTTTTTAAAAGTTGATTCTGAAACAATATAGCTGCTGTAGTGACACAGCTGAGTCATCGCAGGTAATTGTGAGGTACTGACTAATATCATTCAAAGGTTAGTTTTTTTAGGAATAACCACAGTGCCTAGGCTTCTAAAGGAAGACTGGTCTTAAATGCACTGAAATATACTAAGGTTGCCAGAACTCAAGGTGCTAACTGAAAACCAAAAAGAGAATAAACCAAGTTTAACATTCTCTCCCAAGACTGACACATACCTGTGCTGAAATAGTGCGCTGGAAGGTTTTTGCAGTTGATGTTTCATTGGACACGTTACTCTGTGGAGCCCAATAATGTTCAGACATCTGCATAAAAAGCCAAGAAAGCCATGAAATACCCATACAAGCTTTACATGTGTGAAGTCTCATCCACCTGTGATAGTAGGTGAATTAACAAGTCTGGAACAAGCTTCCTGAACCCTTCGGCAACGAGCTGGAGATCAGGGGCATAGACAAGCACGTGCTCTTAACGCAGTCAAATAAGTCATTGTCCTTCAGCTGAAAGCTAGCAACCAACTCCCTTTACTTGGTAACTGTGTGCAAACTACTGGGTGCCAGCTGAAGAGTGGTGGATTCAGGGTTTACATGACCCAGTACAAAGTAAATGCAAGTACGGCAGGACTATCCAGACCTGTCAGTTTGCTGCGTTTCAAGGGGAGAGCGGCAACAAGTTGTGCCAGCTGCACTGCAAGCATCCCACTAATTCCACTTCTAGTTCTGTACTCAACACTGGTTTATACATCTGACATCTGCCTGGCAGCAGCTGTCAGGACAGAAAGGCAGCCTGGAGCTGGGATACTGTCACATTGTACACACAGTGCTGGGAGACCAAGCACGGCCCTGCTTGCCTGTGGGCCAACCTGGGCCAATTCTGCTGAGCTTTAAGTTTCTTGGGTGTTTATTAAAGATGTGTTGGCCAACCTACTGTAAGTTTAGAGGGAAGAACAAGAACTACACGTGTGGGAGGAAAAAGCTGTATCTGTCAACAGCTACGTTTGGTGCAAAGCTGCAATGGTTCTGTAAGGACTGCACTCATTTACGCACTCTCTCGCATCAACACACAGGCAAAGGAAAACTGCTTTTTTAAAAAAGTGGAAACCTTCTAACATGAATACAGCGGCACTGAAAGCTTCCCATATGGCACGGAATAATCATTACAACCATTCACACTTAGTTTTATTCACTGTTCACGCATCTATGCCTGAAACACGTGGGGGCCCACTGAAGTTCTCGCATGCATCAGATTTAGCTGTATCCAAACTGTCCTCGTAAAAAACAAAACAGCTCATATTTTGGTTTTAGTCATCTCAGAAAGGCATACAGAGATGAAAGTTCTGTAAGCCTCACTGTAAACAAAGTGACAGTTTCTCCATGAGGTTACAACCAAATTACCTTTTTCTGTAGCCACTGCACAGCCCAACTCCAGTGGTGGGAATTCTCCTTGAAATAATCTTTTGCAGTAGGGCACCTTGGGGATGTGGAAAAGGGAAGTGGTATAAATTTAATGACATTGTTGCTGAAGAATTTGATTTAACTGATGAAACATTGGTTCTGGCATTGTGGCAAACAAAAAAAAAAATAATCAGAAGACCTCTCTCTTTGCACTGCTGACCTCTGTATGCAGTTATCACTGCAAGCTCGGACTTAAACTGTCCAGTCCTGGTATTAGCTGAATTAGCAAAAGCAATAATGTCTAGTAGAGTTTACACAAAGTAGTCTACTACACAGATTCATGTTTCAGAACTAAGTTTTATTGGGGCATATACCAAGTTTTAAACAGAGAGATTTTAGGAACTGTAATATTTCAAAGATCTGGGAAAGCTTCCTTATGTTTATCTTGGTCTTCACACTAGGCTCCTGCTCTACAGGATGTAGCTGACCGTTGTCTTTATAAACAGCAATCATCTGTTGTTATCTGAGAAATCCATCTCAAGTACTAATCAGTAAAGATGTCACTTCAAGACCTTTGAGCACCACTTATATCACAGTAACAAAAGATAAAACTGATCAAAAGTAGAAA